CCCAAACCCAAACCCAAACCCAAACCCAAACCCAAACCCAAACCCAAACCCAAACCCAAACCCAAACCCAAACCCAAACCCAAACCCAAACCCAAACCCAAACCCAAACCCAAACCCAAACCCAAACCCAAACCCAAACCCAAACCCAAACCCAAACCCAAACCCAAACCCAAACCCAAACCCAACCCCAACCCAAACCCAAACCCAAACCCAAACCCAAACCCAAACCCAACCCAAACCCAAACCCAAACCCAAACCCAAACCCAAACCCAAACCCAAACCCAAACCCAAACCCAAACCCAAACCCAAACCCAAACCCAAACCCAAACCCAAACCCAAACCCAAACCCAAACCCAAACCCAAACCCAAACCCAAACCCAAACCCAAACCCAAACCCAAACCCAAACCCAAACCCAAACCCAAACCCAAACCCAAACCCAAACCCAAACCCAAACCCAAACCCAAACCCAAACCTGATAATGATTGGATCAAATCAAACGTATTTTTATTTCATTTTCAAGGATATGACTATTGTAGTGTATAATCATGAGAGAAATCTTGTGCAAGTAATTGATTTTTGTAAGGAAAGCGAGAAGGAAATTATTGACATATCTCGAGGTTGTACTGGAGATTGTGCCTATATTCTCACTAGGAAGCAAGATGAGTATGAACTATTGGTGGAGAAGGATGGTTGTATTGGTAAAGCAGAGATCGGCGATTTGGTAGGTCAACTGAATAATGTGAGATTTCTATCAAAATATGCTGTAGTCACAAATGATAATAAGATTTACATTTTGGCCATGATTATTTCTCACAACCAAGGATTTAAATATAGGGAAACAACCTTTGAAAACAAATCACAAATCATACAATTGGAAAGCGGATTTGATCACTGTGTCGTTCTCACACAAGATGGAAAAGTTTATGCAATGGGAATCAATCAATATTCTCAATGTGGAATGCTTCCAGATCAATCGAATATTGTTAGACAATTTGTTGAAATTATTCCACCAACAATGTATCATTCAAGAGTGTTGCGGATTGGATGTGGATCTACTTATACTGCTCTTCTTACAGAAAGTCATATTCTTATAGTTGGTAGATTTACTGGAAGTACAGGAACTGTGTGTAAGAATAGAATAGTCCATGCAGGTAATGGAACGCCATGGCTTGTTTCTAAAAACTTATTTGGAATTAATGATATTTATTGTGCTGGATGGCATTTATGTGCTATTCAAACAACAGAAATCAATAAGGAAAGACTTTTTGCAAGATTGTTAAATAATTCTCAATGGTTTTCAGATGTAGAAATTTTACTAACTTGATGATATACTAATTTTAGAAGAAACACATGGATTTTTACCAAATATTGGTTAATGTTTAGTGTAATGAACTAATTAACCAAACCTGTGAATAATATTGAAATTTGGAAGTTCTATACATCAGTCAACTTAAACAATTGACTGATCTAAATATTAATGGAAATAATATTGGACATGAATGATAATCAGTGAAATTGGTGATGAAGGAGTTTTGAGTATTTCAGAAAAATACCACAATAATTACATTATAAAACACCTTTTGCTTGGTTTAATTTCTTGCAGAAGTGCTGAATCTTTGGAAATTACGTTTTGTAAAATTGGCAAACTATCAACTCTATAAAATCTCTCCATTCTTACACCTTCCTCAAATATCAAATTAATATTTTCTCCTTTTTTGGCACTACTTTCCACAATACTTGTATTCAACAGTGAAAATTCCTTAATAATTAAATTAATTTCCTTTTTGAACTCGTTCAAAGTTTCGTCTCTATTTGTTTCCAATAAATCAACCTTATTAATTACAAATACAATAGGTGTATCATTCACTGGTCTTTCCTTAATCTTGATGATGTATTCCACTCTGTGTCTGAGTGCCTTCACTGTTTCCAAATTATCCACAGAACAAACAGCAACAAAACAGTTTCCAAATGTTGTATAATTCTGTTTAAAAGCCTCAAAATCTTGATTACCAGCTAATGATTTCACAATTTCAAATCAATCATCTCATTAAATACCTACCTGTATCCATAATTTCCAATAAAGCAACTCGGTTATCCACCTGTGCTACTTTCCTATACGAATCTTCTATCGTAGGATCATATCTGAATCCAATTTAATCTATCAATGTGTAAATAACAACATACAGATCCACAAAGATATTCACAACATAAAAAATAGTGAGAGCTGATTTTCCAACTCCCTCCTCTCCAATCACCACCATTCTATATTCCTCAGCTGCACCATTCTTTGCATTCTTTAAAGTACCTTTCACCGTTTGAAATTTAATAAATCTGGCAAGGATAACTTTTCTCCGCAATTCTCCTCTCTTCATCAAATCAATTTTAATTAATTCCAAATCATGAAGTGATTTCCTAGATATTGACCCCTGACATTCGTAAACTCTCCACCAAAAATCATTGAAATAATCTTGCATTTCCTTCGAGTGAGAAATCTTTTTGGAAAGTGATTGAAAATTGGCTATAAAAACAATATCGGAATGAGTTTCATGTTTTGATCGGAATAGTTTTGGATCAATTGCAAAGGAGAGAATGTGCTGATAAATTTCTGGAGGTAATGATGAAAAATTGGCCAAGAAATTAAACGGTTGTTTGATTGACATTTTTTTTGAAATAAAATAAAAACAAAAATAATTCAAAATAATTCAAAATAAATTGAAATAGGAATTGAGGAACAATATTTGCAAAATATATGTTTTACCAAAATATAAAATGGAACGGGGACCAGTGGGAATCGAACCCACGGCCTCTCGCACCCAAAGCGAGAATCATACCACTAGACCATGGTCCCTTACATTAAAATAACTTAACATCTGTTGGTGGTGAGCTAGAACTCAAATTGGCTCTTATTTCTGCAGTCTTTTACAACATTTTTGAAACATGATAACCCAGTGCAAATAAACCCCATACCAGTATCACTATTTGAGACCACAACTGTATTTCCAAATACAGTGTCATTGTAATTGTTGATAACAAACTCAACAAGCAACCAACTAAGGGAGCATCCTTATATTTCCTCTTTTTTATCAGCATAAATGGCATGATAATGAACAAGAATGAAAGAAGGAGAAGAAGATAT